CAGACATCAGACAGCAAGCACATGTCTTCTTTTACTAGGAGCCATAGATAAAGAAATAAAGAAACAATTCAATGGCTTAATTGTAATGCTAAGGCCAGAGAAACTAAACTCCTTCAGAAGTCTCTTTCATAAGCTCATGTATCACACAAGAATCATGATACTGCTGTGCATAGATTCAGATATTAATCATAGTAATCTTAAAATGTTCCCACTACAAAGGTCTGAGAGGCTTTTTAGAGAACATTTGTCAACAAACAGCATCATGAAGACCAAGGAACACAGCAGCAGACAGATCAGATCGTACGAACATCATCTCAGAACAGAGAGTGTGACACAACTCCAAAACTACCAAGACATGGCCGCCGACCAGTCAAACAGGCCAGGTGGCTATGAGATTAGAAAAGCAGTGAAGAGTTCCATGATTACTCTGGAGGAGTGATTTAGATCTACAGCACAGAAAGAAGGCTCTGTTGACAGGATAACTATAATTCCTTAAATCCTTGCTGGAAAATTTGTGAGAAGAAAGGGATTTTTGATAAGAAGTCATGTTCAAAATTTGTGACAAGCCACCGGGGACACAGAAACCCTGTGTAAGACGACGCCCTGTTCAAAGGAGACTGACTTAACTTTTGCCCTGCATCCAAAATGCTGTGAATGAAACACTAGTTGTGCTCTACCTCTGCACCACCACAGCACAGGATCTGTCCTTGGTGAAGCTTGAGTCATGTGCTTTTAATAGTGCACTCTAAGAATTGTATTCTAAAAACACACTTTCAAACAATTAAGTTCAATGATGTCATGACATCATCGATGTCAGAGAGTTTTAGAACACTCTCTGAAAAGTGTATTTTTAGAGTACACTTCTTAGAGTGCACTCTCAAATGTACATGACTCAAGCTTCACCAGAGACAGATCCTGTACCAACCAGGTGCTGCTGTGGTGCAGGACTCGAGCACAACTCGCATAAGAAAACCTTAGTCCTCAATGTGGCTGTCGCAGGTTCAATTCCGGCATGATGATCTTTGCTTCATGTCTTCCCTCTCTGTCTTTACCCACTTTCCTGTCTAACTACTCTCAAAGAAAGACTGCCTGAGCCAAAAAACCGATAAAAAGAGACCAATATTAGTTTCCTTCTTTATTTTAAGTAATATTTATCGTTTTAAACACACTTAATGAATTCGGACAATTTTGTCTAGGTTAATGACAAGTTGTCATAACGAAGACATTTTGAATAATGTCAGCTTTGTATTAAAAGTGTCATAATTTACCGAATGACGCTTTATGACAACAGTCATAAATATTCATGAAGGCTTATTCATGTGCATGACAGGTGTTCATGACATGTGTTATGTCATGTTAATGAAAGTGTCATGACAGTCTTATTCACCCCCCTTCAAATAAAGTGTTACCAATTTCTTTTTACAGTGTAGCACGGAGATGTGGATCACTTTAGATAGTGTTTCTCAAAACCAGGAAACCTACTAACTTGAAGTAGGTGTTCCTGTTTTTACTTTCCCTCTCACCAACCCCCCAC